CCATTCAGGGCGAGGCAATTAACTGTTGCGATCGTCAAACGCGGGAAACGCGTGCAAGGCGTCATTGGTTTTGTTTTTACCTGTGATTTATTGAGAGAAAAGGCGAGACTTTTCAGCCTTCAAAAATTTCCGTATCGCTCTATTTGGTGATTTGTTAGAGTGGAACGAAGTCGGTTTAGCCATACTACTGAAGAAACTTATCACATTGTTCTGATGAGTTCAAATTACGTACACCATACAGAGAGATTCACGGTTTGTTTTTGCATAAACGAAAACAATTGACAAAAGATGAAAACACCACCACCACCAACAAAAACAAACAGACAAACAATCAAACAAAACGCCGGGGAGGTGAAGAGACAACCAACAATTAATTCAAATTTAAGACGAACAGACGTAAAACGCCGTTTGCATGAAGCGGAAGCATTCCAAATTTGAGAAACTGAAGGATTCTCTACATATCTGACATATCTACTACCAAGAAGTGACTTCTAGTAATAAACTTTCCATACGCTTGTGTTTGAATGTTCAAGAGAAATAACGGAGGAAAAGAATATAAAACTGACAGATCACCAGTCCAGTTGAAGTACATAGACCGTAAAATTAAATTTACCAACTGAGATATTTGGAGCAATGTTTATTCCTATTTGATACTTGTTTAGATCTTAAGATACAAACTTGAGATAACGAAACGAAAATCAAGATATGACAGTTTCCAGAAAACGACAGCAGCTTATATACTGGTACAAGGTACAAATCAGCCGTCGCACGTGAGCACGTGATCGGCAAGTGAAAATTTACCAGATATAACAAACTCTTATCTGTGAGTTATGTTCCCCTGATACCCAAGGCTTGTTCTAACTCAGCACGTTTTTGTTGAACCTAGGACAAAAACGATAACACTTGTTTTAAAGCTCATGCTATAACAGTCAATTAAAGGGTTTTGCCAGAACTCTTAATGGTGATGTCACACGGGACAATTCGCAACGAGTTTTAGCGCAACACAGCGTTGCAACATTGTTGCGATATTGTTTCAAATGGTTACAGCATTGTTCAAACATTGCAAAGCTGTGTTATGCTCAAAATCGTCGTTGCGAATTGTTCCGTGTAACATCACCTTCAGATTGTCTGCGTTTATCATTAGTAAGAACTCGCTGAACAGACCTGAGGCCCGTTTCTCGAAAGTCCCGATAATTAACGGGCCCGGTAAGCTTTCTCCGTTTACATTAAAGATAGAGGTTTCAAAAGTTTTGCATCTAGCATGATAAAACTATCAGTTAGTGAAACAAAATGGAGTAGTCTGCTAGCCAGGATTCGCGCTCTTATTCTCTATATTTTGATTTGAATATTTGATTTCGGGCCCGAAAAGTTACCGGGACTTTCGAGAAACGGGCCCCAGGCCAGTTATAAAGCGAATTCCATTATCGAACTTCGCTTAACTTGGGCGTTTTCGCGCGACCTTTGAAACATCGCCTCTATTTTATTTAAGCGCGTACGCACGTCCAAATTACGTGACTGTGGAAATCCGCCCTAAATGTTAAATATTTAGCCAAACGACGGGGAAAAGAAGACGGCAAACCTTGTGTGACAATAGTGACAACAATTATGCTTGAAAAAGTTATTCTCCAAACTTGACCTTCCTTTAAACAGATCTTTTTGTAGAGGACCGTAACACAGTATTGTTAAGTGAGGATCACGGCAAAGTCGCAAGTAATAGCCCTGTCACGTTCGTCACACACAAGCGTTTTGCCGTCGTCTTCTTTCTACCGTCCCGTTGCGTAAGCACACTATCATAAGTATTAGATCAATGCGTTACGAACTAACGCGAGAGTGCCAGTGTACCACTCATACGCTCGCTTAACAGTGTCGCGTTCACACTAGCTTGATGGTGGCCGGGAGTGACCCAATAATCCGCCATGTTAGCACACACAATCACCCGTCAACATCAAATACCAAGAACTTTCCAGAAAATCCAGAAATGGTAATTTCTTGAAAAATTTGCGAAATAAAATTGAGAACTTTTCTTTCAGTTTGACCTAAGCCACTTCTTAAAGAGATAACAATTCCAAACCAGAGGTAATACCTTGCCGTAGAAGTAGCGGCAAACGGCTTCTTGTGACCATGGAAGATGAAAGAAATCTGCTCGCCGCTCTTCCTCAGGATTTCCAACAACATCTGTCATGACCTAAGACAAAAACAGGCATTGAACTCAAAAACCAACACAGGCGCCAAAAATACAAGAACTGCAAGTCGTCAATAATTGGCAGAACATATCTTTATATGCTATTGATCTATTACTTTTATTTCCTTTAACTTAAAGCGCCCTTAGGTACTAGAAAGCTTTCTTGTTTTGTCTGCTTTTGAAAGTCAGTGAGCTCACTGGCAACGCAAAGATAAGCATGAGCATAAAGGGCTTATGCGCTATTGAAGACGGCATTGACACAAGCGTAAACATAGGGTTTGTACTCTTTTAAGGACTTCAAATTGCCAGACTCTCCATGACCTTTTCAAGATTTCCACGACTTTAGGTCTAGCTGTTACTTTCGAAAATTTTCAATGACTTTCCTTGTTTAAGGATATTTTTTGACTTAACTGACAGTTCAACAGACACAAACTCTGGTGTACACCAAAACGCCTGCTGTTCGCGCTATTAATTACTTGTGTCGATCTTGTATTGTCCTTGCTTTGACATCTGCCAAATCTGATCTACCAAATAAAACTTTAATTTTCCATGACATTACATGACGAACAATTAAATTGCATGACTTTCCAGGACTGGAAAATGAAAGTTTTTAATTTCATGACTTTCCAGGTTTTTTCATGATCCGTAAGAATCCTGTAAGAATCCTGAACACAAGAATATCAAAACCGTGCGTTCTTCTTTAGCTTTTGCTTATGTTTATGCCACGGCCGTTCTCACCAGCTCAAAAGCTTCTCATACCCATGCTTTTGCTAATGCTTGCGTTAGGCTTACTGAGGGGCACGACGAGAGTCTAGTTGAGTTTATTGGACAACCCTCTAGGTTCTTATCTTTATGCTTAAACTTATGTTTGCGTCGCTAGACAGACATTCATTTAAAGTGGTATTAACTGGCTGTTGCAAAACCCAAGTAATTACTAAGTCCAATCAAAACAGGCACAGACAGACGACAATAATAACTGACCAATCAGAACTCAAGCATAACGTGAGTCAAAGGCGGGAAAACGAATGTCACATGTCATTGGTTTCGGAAAGTTACTCTGACCAATGAGAACTAGAATCATACATACAGCAAACTACTCGAAGCGGAAAACGTGTTAGTTGAGTTGGTTTTACCGCTGATTGGTCGGGAAAATAGCGCGAAATATTTTAAAAAATACACTCTCGTATAAAGTAATAATTTTACATAGATCTGGTAAAAACAAAAGGTTGATTTAGTATGTGTCGCTATAAAAGACAATACGCGTAAAATATACCTTAAGATCTTGGCTCTGAGATTGAATCCACTGGTTAATAAATTCCTAAACGAAAACGGGAGAAAAAGAAAATTATTAGATTTAATCTGACCATGTATAAGAGGAAGATATAGAATCACAGAGTTAGAATAATATTTCAAACTCATGATATTTCCATTTTCTTACCGGCGGATCTCTTGCAAAACCAAGAAAAAACTCTCGGTTGATTTTCAGTTGATTAATGGTTTCTACTGTCTCGTATATCTGCAAAAGCAAACAAAAAGTGATTTCTAATATATTTGCGTTATTGACGAAGAGTGAGGTCAAGATAGCCAGATACTGACCAAGTTCTTTAAAAAAAACGCAAAAACAAAAACAAACAAAATAAACGAGGTGAATATTCAGTCATCTTGGTCAAACACGTAGAACTACTCTCCACTTTCTGTAACAACGTTCCGAATCCTGCAACAATCTGATTTGTTGCAAGACAGGTTTGGTTCATACGTGGCTAAACGCTCAACATTGCTTTTCAACTCGATTTGAAGTAATGTTAGTTTCACGTTTTTTGTTGCCGGTTTGCCGTGTCTTTAGCCAATTGTATATTATAGTGAGGCAAAACCAACGCAATGCCAAAATTGCTTTTTATAATGAACTGAAAATAGCTCTCTCGCGAAGGCGCATTGCAGTCCAATTGTTTCACTCTGAACTACTGTGAGAAGACTTTCTCACGATTACACTAACCCAAACGCTTACAACTCCTGGATGAAATAATTTGTCTGGATGTATTTAAATGCAACAAAAGGGATATACAAGTCAAAAAAGCACAGGGTTACATTTTTTTTATGAGATTTACCTTGTTGTCAAAAGCAGCGATCTCATTTTGGCTGGCGGTGGAAAGTAAGAAAGACTGCATTTGAGCCTTCAGTGTATCATCCTACAGTAAGATAAAAAAGAGACCGTAAATTAAAGAGTCATCTGTCATCTATCTATATCTAGTTTACGACGCAAAAAAGGAATAACATTTGTTAAGCTCTTATGTTCTTAGAGGGTCTCTCTAAGTGACGAAACACTGCAAGGCAACAAAGACTATCACAAATCCGTAGTCTTCTGGTTTTAGCTTGTGTTGCTCGCGCGGCCGCTTCGCGACATACCATTAAAAATCGAGTTACTGACAAACTATACGCACCCAAGGCTGTGCTCTAAGGAAAATTGAAGGGATCCCAGTGCTTTGAAACTGTAAAATCTAGAGTGCCCAGCATATGATTTGTATGAAAAATCTAAGATTTTCTAGTCGCCCGAGGGCAAAAGTTAGGCGCCAGCGGCCACGGGGCTCTGCTAGAGCACAGCCCTGCGTACCGCATTCAGTACTGACAAAAAGACAAACTTTTACCCCGCATTACTGATAAAAAGAATTCGACTTAGTGCAATTCCGGCCTCATGTGCCGAAAACAGGCAGCGACCACTATTTGCTTTCCAGTCGAAGAAATCAAGTCAGAAACGTTTTTATTTTCTCAGTTTCGTCAAAATAATAATAATAATAATAATAATAAAAAATGGAAAAACGAAGCTAGTTATCATGCACAGCAATTTAACGGTTACTTACAACTTCAACTTCAATGTCATAGCAAGTTGTTCTCTTGTTTTCAGGCGTCTCTTTGCTACAGAAACACATATGAGCAAATATGAGCTGCTTAAATGTCATGGTCCCGAAAATATTTTTCCCCTTAAAGTCAATTAAGGAGGCATAGTGAATCAAAGGGTCACCATTCACATGAACGCCACTTAGCAGTACTACTTTTCTGCGGTGCTGCTTATCATGATGTGCAAGGTGGTTTTAACTTTTGGGCCTGTGGATGCAATCGCTAAGTGTGTCTATTCAAAGGAAAGCTATAGCCTCCCAGACAGGCCTTTTTAGGGGAGCTCGTAGGGACGAAACACGAGCTCCCCTAAAAACGCCTGCGTGCGAGGCTAAGGAAAGCTACCGAGCAACAGTTTTTTTCATGGTTGCCGACTTGTATTTCGGCTGCCAAATAAATTTGGGATTCTAATTTGACTGTTAAATTGGCCCTGAGGCGAGTGCAAAGATTGAACAGGGAGACAGAAAAGAGATGAAGGTACATGAAAAAAGAAACCTTTATTTCACGAGCCTCAGGCATACACTGCGAGCAGCCGTTTGTTTTCCTTAGCACGTTTAAAAATAAACTTTAACATTGCTTTTTAAAGGCCTTACCTTATGAGATGATGAATGACAATGGGGTCGGGTGGGAGCAATAAGGCACTTAAACGTTGAGGAATTTCGCTGAACTTCATTCGATTACATTCAAAGATCTAAACACAAAAATAACCACATGTGAGGTGGTACATGTTACGTGGATAAAACTGAGGTTCTATTGATTCTTTCAAAAACAAATCTAAGTAAAATGTAAGTAAAACTATGTTACCTAGTAGAACAATAAACTTGACAATAAAATGAAGCCGGACAGATTACTTTGTTAAATGTTTTCGTTAGCTTTTTATTACTTGATAGTGCACAATGTTGAACTTTCCTATCATTTTTGAACTAACTCAACAATAGAATTTGAAACGTCACATTACTATTATTTTCAATGTAAGAACTAAAAATAAATGATTTCGCATGGTCAGGAAGCTCCCTACTCTACATAAACTGCAGCACCGCTGCATTCATCTTTAATTTTTCATCAGCTTTCGTAACCAGTTTCCCATAATAACTACGAGCGAAGCAGATTGAAACTTTCAACAGGCACAACATCAATGCCAAGGAAATTTCAAGAGAATTTTTAAGGTACTATTAATATGCTTGAATGGGTTTCATTTGTCATAAAAGACTGAATTATCTTTGTGTTCAATTTGCAGGGATTATTCCCAGTCTAAGATCAAGAAAGGGAAACAAATTTAACAATCCCTTTAAACTTGCGAAGGCTGAGCACTGAGCCTGCACAACAAGGACACAAGGAGACCCCCTTCCTCCTTTACCGTTTTTGGCCCTATCACATCTCATAAATCACAACTTTTAGCTTTTCTCAAGAAAAAGGATTCACTTTTAGAATTTTCTCATTGCATTGCAAAAAGGAATTTTCCCCACTTGCACAATAATTATTACTTTCCTGTAAGCAAGGTTTTTTCTTACCTGCTGAAAGTATCTGTCACAGTTTATGTACTCTCTCTCATGAGAATCTTGCAAATTGTGACTCTGAAAAAGTGGGCACGGGACATATCAACGAAGAGAAGCAGGTTGTCAACCTTTAACATAAAGAAACTGCTTCACGCATGGTTTGTGTCGCCCTATGTATTATTTTTTTTCAACTTTCTCACCTTAATGTATTGCCATATTGCATTCACAATCACTGGTCTGGTTTGTGTGTGAATACCCATGAGACGCGCCAGCCTGGGTTCCAGTTTGTACTGAGGGGGCTAATATCAAATGGTAACAAACCAAAGATAAGCAGAATGTTTATAAGACAAACAAAGACTGGTTTGGATTTGGCCTTGCCGCTCGCTCGCGCGTCCTTGCTTCACTCGCCCAGATAGGAGAGCTTGCTTGCAGGCTAAATTTGTATGTGGATATTTGAGCTTATAGGGTGAAAGAAAATATGATGAATGGCTGACAACCTTTCTGACCTGTCTGAATAAAATGGTCACTTTCTGAAAAGAAACATTACTTGTAACCCTCCGTAACTTTATTTATGACATGGAAAAACAGTAGAATTGGTCAATTTTTAATGCTTTCTTTATCATCCCTATGTACAAGACTATCACAAACATGTACAAATTACTTCCAATATTAAACACTTCCAACTAGATTAGAACCATTAAAGATACATGTACAGTTGTATTTGAAGTGGTGAGGAACATTTTCACCTCCACAACCAGGTAAGACAGGTAAGTGAAGAACCAACCTGATAATCCAGCAAGAACATGATTGTACATTTCACATTCTCCTCTCCTGGTCTTTTCACCTTGAAATCATAAGAAAAAATATTAAGGACAGGGGCACTAGTTAGTACCTGTAGTTTAGCCAATTTCAACAAACTTACACTGAATGCTTTGTCTTAATTCTTTTAACACAAGCATTTCAAGCCACTGGTTCACTGATTTTCTACTGTTCCTGAAACTGAAGTTAGCTTCTACAGGTGTATATGATAACTATTATACCCCTCCATGCACTAAGTACATATAAGTACTAGTATTGTATGTCATAATATTATTTCATTTGAATTCTTAAAGGTCAACACCAATAAATTAAACTGGCAACTGACTGGGTATAAGTGGCACCTGAAAAGCTTTTGCTCATTACACCAAAATTGTCAAATGACAACAGGAGTCACAGCTTTGGAAGAAAAGGGAAAAAATGGATACCTGAAAGCCATCTGTCTCTTGAGTGGAACTTGTTCTATGCCACTGTAAAGAAGAACACAAAATCAAAAGTTTTCTCAGCACACAGAAAACTGACAACTCAACAAAAATTAAATACAGTATATTAAAAAAAAAATTGAAAAAAAATCACAATGTACACCTGTGATTGTCAACATCATCTTTCCTTAAATAATTGTATAGTTCTCTTTTAAAACAAGATAAAACAGTTATTTTCTTAATCTGCATTGGCAGCCAATTCCATTATCTTTGGATGCAGCTCCTTCAAATGTTCTTTGTCCAGAAGAGGTCTTTGCACCCTTTACATTTAAATTACACTTGTCCCTGGACAATTTTGATTGTTGGCATATTTCTTCTTTTAAAGCACTTGATACCTCTACAAGGTGGTTATCTGGACCATATAGCTCTCTATCCAACTCGATAACAAGACTCTTGAAATAAGTAGAGAACTTGCGCTTCTGTCTTGGGCCATCAGTTTTGGGGGCTTGAGTCTGGAAAAAAGGAAATAATATTTTCAGTAACTTAAGGACATGTTAACCACAATACAATGATACGTGAAAAATAAATGTGCTCCAAAAATCCATTTCACCCTAAGCCTGTCATTACCAAGAGCAACAAATGCAAAAATGTATGAAAAACAAATACAGTAAGTGGCAACTGAAATGGCATGATTTTGTGCTTGCTTAAAAGGGAGGAAGTGATCACGTGCAAGAAGTGTCAAAAGAGCTATCGTGCTTAATGCCTAGGAGTTGGTTTGGATTTACACAGTTTTTCACTTGAGGTGGTTGCACAATGAAGTTCTGAGCAGGTACACCTTTCAAGCCAACACAGATTTCACCTTATATCTTTTTAAAAGACACATTCATCCACACTCAGGCCTGTTTACACAAGTAAAACAAGTCAATCAAAACTTGTTATTGATTCATGTATGAATTCTTTTACATAAACATCAGAATTTTTAGGACTGCCACGTATTATATCTGTATGGGTTGTTGTTAAACTAAAAAGTACTGTGTAAAGTAAAAGCATCCTGACGGTAATTGCCATGAACATTACCTCCTCTAAAAGTCGACCTTCAACTCTCAATTCCCATGAAGGGACAATGTTCTCTTCATCCTGAAAACAACGCAAAGCTATTTATGGTACAAGTTTGATTAAAAAGAGTAGCTTTATGATAAAGAAAATAAATTATTACCTCAATCACTATAACATAATTATAGTTACAGTCTTACAACATGTACACAGTTATGCTTTCTTTAAGGCTTATAATATTCATACAATATTGCTTCAACCTTTGCAAAAACTATTAGATCTAGTAACTTACTTCATTTTCTGGTCTTGGCACATAAAAGTTAGTTGTCAGGTAAATTCTAAGCTTCTTCTTTTGCTGTAAATAAAATATATGGTATGATAAATGTATAAATTTACGTGTAAGTTCTAGTCAATTGACGCTGCCCTCCCCACACACAGACACACACACGTGGAAATGGATGCCACATGTATGAAAGGCACCACTTCACGTATGCTTAGATGGAGACATTACAGGACACAGCTTCTTTTTGAGTAACAATGTGGTAGCACACAATGACAGTCTATACAGGGGATCAGCAAGGGTAGCAAGAGGACGGGGGAAAAGGAAGGAACAGTGGCAAGAGCTCTGACTCCTCTTATAAAGAGATGCGAACCTCTGGAAATGTAGACAGAAGACTGTCCTTTTTGCATTACCCTCCCGCATAGCAACGGCCAACCCCCCAACCCCGACTCCGATAACCTGAGATCAGGCCCAATTTGAGCGGTTCTCATACATTCTCTCTAACGGCTACCGCTGAAATTGGGCCTGATACAAACTATTACAAGTTTGTGCTCGTTACGGCCAGATTTTGGCCGTAATGCTGATTGGCTGTTAGACAATAACACAAGATCTGATTGGCCGTCGGAAACGCCGGAAGCGAAAGGGAAAAAATCCTCGCGTGGTTGTTTTCGTGAATGATCTGTCGTCGGCGGAGAGAAGGATCAATTTTGCTGTCTTTTTTGTTTTATGGTCTTATGGTATGAAAATATGCCTTAATATGTGCAATGGAAATTCAGAAAATTCATGTAGTTGTTCATATCTTCTCAGGATTTGCTTTATTTACGGAAAGTGAGTGTATAGCAGAGTTGAATCCCTCTGCAAGTTGTTGACCGGTAACAAGGTGCACTTCGATTTACCAACAAACGGGTGCAAATCAAAATACTGCCCATCTTAAAACTGGTTTCATTTGAAAGTTTAGCCGGGAATGACTTCTCTGAACGGGGTACCCAAGCGGAGGCTCACTGCGAAAGAAACCTCAATCGCCAACTGTGAAGTATTAGACGAAAAATATCGCATCGCTGTTCAAGGAATTTTCAGGGTTCACAGACTGGTTGTTTGACTACACTTTTTGATAAAAGTAAACCAAGAAAACTGGTGTCTTCGCTCGTTGGCTGTTTGCTTTTGTTTTTAAATATTTATGTACTGAAAATCGGGGGAAATTGCCAAGGAAAATATCAAGACAACGGAAAAATAGAGATTTCAGTATTTTAAATTCCAGAGCACCTAGCCAAAATAATAAAACTAGTAGAACATCGTGTCGCCGTCTTTTCGAAAACTTTTTACCTTCTACGCCAACAGAAGTAACCTTCGAGATCTCCCTTAATCTCGCAAGAAGTTAAATGTGATTGTGCTGACTGTTTTATTTTAAGCTGAAAAAATTAACAGATAAAAGCTATTTTTTAAGTCAGCCAGTCTGCATTTTTCCCACGCGTGAAAAATTTGCATACTAGAAAAACAAGCAATGGAAGTAATTCTGATTGGCTGATTCGGCAAATGTCAATCAATCAAAAAAGTGGGCGGCAGACATTCTGTTAAAGGTTTGTATCAGGCTTGCTTTTCGTTTCGCCTTGCCCGCCGGAATGTAATTTTCAAAGCGAAACGAAAATAGAGCCTGATCTCAGGTTACGACTCCGACCACCTGATAAACACAATTCGATCCAGTCCCTGATTTATCACATGGGAATGGCTTAGGACATTACATGAAGTCTTACACTAGGAACAGACCATCACAATTCGCTTTTATGATTGTAATGGCAAATTCATCTTTGTCAGTGGTGAAATATGTACAAAAATGCCCCAGAAACTGAACTGTGAATCAAAGAAAATTTGAATTTTCAGAGAAAATAGGATAAATTCCAAATTAAAGCACACTCAGAAAAGCTCATAACTCGATTTTATCCAGGAGATTTGGTGACCCGTATGGGAGATCAGGAGATTGGTGTCATATCTGAGAGATTCCCAGATAATCCAGGAGAGTTGTTGGCACAATCATATGCTAAAAAATGTTCTGATGGATTCCAGGGCCAGAGCCAATACCTTATGTGGGTTAAGTTTGTGGTAGGTTCTCTTCTTTGCCCTGAGACCTTTTTCTCCAGGTTCTCCAGTTTTCCCGTCTCCACAAACACCAACTTTCGAAAATTCAAATTTGATCAGGAATAATGGACGATGAAGAACCACTAGGCATATAAGTTATCACTAAATTGTTTTAAAATAAATAATCATCCTACCTTCATTGGTCTTTTCAAAGCTTCTTGAATGTCTAATCTCTTACGCATTATTGTAGCATCGAGCTTCCTTTCAAATGCTAGCAGGTCCATGTTTGAAAAATAAATGTGCTCCAAAAATCCATTTCACCCTAAGCCTGTCATTACCAAGAGCAACAAATGCAAAAATGTATGAAAAACAAATACAGTAAGTGGCAACTGAAATGGCATGATTTTGTGCTTGCTTAAAAGGGAGGAAGTGATCACGTGCAAGAAGTGTCAAAAGAGCTATCGTGCTTAATGCCTAGGAGTTGGTTTGGATTTACACAGTTTTTCACTTGAGGTGGTTGCACAATGAAGTTCTGAGCAGGTACACCTTTCAAGCCAACACAGATTTCACCTTATATCTTTTTAAAAGACACATTCATCCACACTCAGGCCTGTTTACACAAGTAAAACAAGTCAATCAAAACTTGTTATTGATTCATGTATGAATTCTTTTACATAAACATCAGAATTTTTAGGACTGCCACGTATTATATCTGTATGGGTTGTTGTTAAACTAAAAAGTACTGTGTAAAGTAAAAGCATCCTGACGGTAATTGCCATGAACATTACCTCCTCTAAAAGTCGACCTTCAACTCTCAATTCCCATGAAGGGACAATGTTCTCTTCATCCTGAAAACAACGCAAAGCTATTTATGGTACAAGTTTGATTAAAAAGAGTAGCTTTATGATAAAGAAAATAAATTATTACCTCAATCACTATAACATAATTATAGTTACAGTCTTACAACATGTACACAGTTATGCTTTCTTTAAGGCTTATAATATTCATACAATATTGCTTCAACCTTTGCAAAAACTATTAGATCTAGTAACTTACTTCATTTTCTGGTCTTGGCACATAAAAGTTAGTTGTCAGGTAAATTCTAAGCTTCTTCTTTTGCTGTAAATAAAATATATGGTATGATAAATGTATAAATTTACGTGTAAGTTCTAGTCAATTGACGCTGCCCTCCCCACACACAGACACACACACGTGGAAATGGATGCCACATGTATGAAAGGCACCACTTCACGTATGCTTAGATGGAGACATTACAGGACACAGCTTCTTTTTGAGTAACAATGTGGTAGCACACAATGACAGTCTATACAGGGGATCAGCAAGGGTAGCAAGAGGACGGGGGAAAAGGAAGGAACAGTGGCAAGAGCTCTGACTCCTCTTATAAAGAGATGCGAACCTCTGGAAATGTAGACAGAAGACTGTCCTTTTTGCATTACCCTCCCGCATAGCAACGGCCAACCCCCCAACCCCGACTCCGATAACCTGAGATCAGGCCCAATTTGAGCGGTTCTCATACATTCTCTCTAACGGCTACCGCTGAAATTGGGCCTGATACAAACTATTACAAGTTTGTGCTCGTTACGGCCAGATTTTGGCCGTAATGCTGATTGGCTGTTAGACAATAACACAAGATCTGATTGGCCGTCGGAAACGCCGGAAGCGAAAGGGAAAAAATCCTCGCGTGGTTGTTTTCGTGAATGATCTGTCGTCGGCGGAGAGAAGGATCAATTTTGCTGTCTTTTTTGTTTTATGGTCTTATGGTATGAAAATATGCCTTAATATGTGCAATGGAAATTCAGAAAATTCATGTAGTTGTTCATATCTTCTCAGGATTTGCTTTATTTACGGAAAGTGAGTGTATAGCAGAGTTGAATCCCTCTGCAAGTTGTTGACCGGTAACAAGGTGCACTTCGATTTACCAACAAACGGGTGCAAATCAAAATACTGCCCATCTTAAAACTGGTTTCATTTGAAAGTTTAGCCGGGAATGACTTCTCTGAACGGGGTACCCAAGCGGAGGCTCACTGCGAAAGAAACCTCAATCGCCAACTGTGAAGTATTAGACGAAAAATATCGCATCGCTGTTCAAGGAATTTTCAGGGTTCACAGACTGGTTGTTTGACTACACTTTTTGATAAAAGTAAACCAAGAAAACTGGTGTCTTCGCTCGTTGGCTGTTTGCTTTTGTTTTTAAATATTTATGTACTGAAAATCGGGGGAAATTGCCAAGGAAAATATCAAGACAACGGAAAAATAGAGATTTCAGTATTTTAAATTCCAGAGCACCTAGCCAAAATAATAAAACTAGTAGAACATCGTGTCGCCGTCTTTTCGAAAACTTTTTACCTTCTACGCCAACAGAAGTAACCTTCGAGATCTCCCTTAATCTCGCAAGAAGTTAAATGTGATTGTGCTGACTGTTTTATTTTAAGCTGAAAAAATTAACAGATAAAAGCTATTTTTTAAGTCAGCCAGTCTGCATTTTTCCCACGCGTGAAAAATTTGCATACTAGAAAAACAAGCAATGGAAGTAATTCTGATTGGCTGATTCGGCAAATGTCAATCAATCAAAAAAGTGGGCGGCAGACATTCTGTTAAAGGTTTGTATCAGGCTTGCTTTTCGTTTCGCCTTGCCCGCCGGAATGTAATTTTCAAAGCGAAACGAAAATAGAGCCTGATCTCAGGTTACGACTCCGACCACCTGATAAACACAATTCGATCCAGTCCCTGATTTATCACATGGGAATGGCTTAGGACATTACATGAAGTCTTACACTAGGAACAGACCATCACAATTCGCTTTTATGATTGTAATGGCAAATTCATCTTTGTCAGTGGTGAAATATGTACAAAAATGCCCCAGAAACTGAACTGTGAATCAAAGAAAATTTGAATTTTCAGAGAAAATAGGATAAATTCCAAATTAAAGCACACTCAGAAAAGCTCATAACTCGATTTTATCCAGGAGATTTGGTGACCCGTATGGGAGATCAGGAGATTGGTGTCATATCTGAGAGATTCCCAGATAATCCAGGAGAGTTGTTGGCACAATCATATGCTAAAAAATGTTCTGATGGATTCCAGGGCCAGAGCCAATACCTTATGTGGGTTAAGTTTGTGGTAGGTTCTCTTCTTTGCCCTGAGACCTTTTTCTCCAGGTTCTCCAGTTTTCCCGTCTCCACAAACACCAACTTTCGAAAATTCAAATTTGATCAGGAATAATGGACGATGAAGAACCACTAGGCATATAAGTTATCACTAAATTGTTTTAAAATAAATAATCATCCTACCTTCATTGGTCTTTTCAAAGCTTCTTGAATGTCTAATCTCTTACGCATTATTGTAGCATCGAGCTTCCTTTCAAATGCTAGCAGGTCCATGTAAGCTTGGGACTCAGGTACAAGGTCTCTTACCTTAAAATAACAATATTTAGACCTACATGTAATTTGTGACCTTGTCAATGACAAAAATCTAACAATACGAATAAAAAATTGTCCAATCCTTAAGAAGATGAACAGTCTGTTATTAGATACCAGGCTTTAGCAGGGCTCTCAGGATGCGAAGCTCCATTGACCAGAATAAATTGCCTTCTAATCAACAGAGGTTTTTATCAACTAAGTTGATTTATAGGGCTTATGAGGGTATTGCTGTTTTAAGTCAACTCTGTGCTGAAGTCATTACTCGATGCCTTTACTTTCTGTATATAAAAAAGGCCTTGTTACTGATATGAGGAAGGTACCAAACAAATTTCACCAGGAAGCCTTAACCATAATAATTCTTCTGGCCCCAGTTGTTAAAAAGGTGGATAGCGATATCCAGCAGATAAATCTCCATCCAGCGCATAGTGCAATAATATTATTAATTTCCCTAATACTTATCCATTGGCTAGTGATTTATCCAGTGGATAGCACTATCCAGCTTTTGAACAATTGGGGCCTGGTGATTTTTGCAGGCATAGCCTTAAAACTTGAATAAGTTGGCCTAACATTTTCAATTTTGAATCAACGTCCACCTTTACCATCTGTTGCAACAGACGACAAGAAACAGTTGCAATGCCTAAATATAGTCCTAAATAACAAAACTAGAGTGTTATTTTTGCAATTCAACTGATTGAAAAAAACATTTTAGCTTTTAAACAAGGTAACAAATGGCATGACATACAGTGTAGCCCCTTTAAGTCAATTTACTACTGTAAGTTATTGAAAAGCTGATGTTTTGAGCACTTGCCCTTAATCAGAACAAATCAAAATTAGATACATCTAACATACACTTTTTTTAACTTGTTAAATACTACTCACCCTTTGTGGCAAGATCTTGTCTGACATTTTCTTCTTCCTTAAAAGAACAAAGAGCCGTTAAAGTTAATATAATATTATACTTACACATTATTGTAAAACAACATGGAACCTTAAAAACATTTTTCTCATAATACCACTATAAAGTACAATGGGAAATGAAATTATTTAACTCATTTAAAATTAATTTTTTTGAATTATTATTATGTTTTGGAGCTCATTTTTCACCAACTAATTTTGCTGAAGTTTTTACCTTCTTCTGTTCTTGGCATCCTGTCGTCGCCTCGCCTGCTCCAATGCTGCTGCAGCTCCAGGTACCAGGCTTGCTCTTGGAACATTTGGGCCATAAGCATGCATACCTGAAGTTCCCTGTACACGCATCGACATGGCAGCACTTGAGCTGTTAGCTGGACGCTGGTATAGCAAAAACAATGTTTTAATATTATTTGTCCAACACCTAGTCACTACAGACAAAATGAGTTGATGCAGGATGTAAATGATCTCATAATCAAGGAAAACTTTGAGTCACTATCTCCTCAAAGAAATTAGGGATCCTCATTTTTTTGGTGCATCCAAAGTTATTTTTTCACAATGCTAGAATTTTCTAAGCTAATATCCTTAAAAGTCAAAATTATGATTGTTACATTACATTAAGCTTGCTTAACATAACAGCCCCTGCAAGATAATCATTATCACACTGGCAAATTTGGAAAGTAGACATTAGGCACTTATTACAGTTAAAACCTGCGACTAAGGCAAAATTTGTGAGGCCTTGTAAGGGTAAAATTCCGACAAGCAAAATGGCCTTGAAACAGCGACATAAGACTGGATAAAAAGATGACAAACGACATAATGATGGGTTAAATACCAAGAGGGACATGGCCTACTACGTGAAACGCGAAATGGCCGAATTTGAAATTCAGACTAGGGACATATGTACCCTTGCCCTCCTTAGAGGGCCTCTTTTGCCAGTTAGGCCTCCTCTACATATACAAGAACCTGATTAGCCTTAAATTTGAAACAGGTTCTTATTTTCTAAAATCTACACAAAAAAACCCTGAAAACTTGGGAAAATGAGATAAGGCATTACAATACATGTATGTTTTGTTCTGAAGGAGGATTTCAAATTCATGTGGTAAGTTGTAATCAGTTCTTCTTCTTATGGTCATTTTTACATAAATACTAATTTAGTATGCTTATTTTAGATAAGGAATGAGGTGAATACCGATAGATACTCCTAGTGCTCTAAAATCCATTTTTTCTCCTTAGAAAATATAATCCTATATTTTAGAACCTTAGCAGCCTAAGTGTAAGTTTTTAAGAACCTGTTTAGACTAACTTAGGAATTGCAGGTTCTTGGTCGCGGGTTCCATTGTACTATTTATTTTAGAAGCGGAAACTGGAAATTCTAATTGGGAAATTAAATGGTTTGTACTATTCCATTTGGAAAGCTTAATTAAATCAACAGTAGATTTTTGTCTATATAGGAATAAGTCCGTAAAACTTTGTTTTACAAATGTGATCGTGCTAAGAAAATATCCCTCGTGCGTGTTCAATTGACATAATTTCAAATGACCTAACAAAGAATTAAGGTAATCAATAAACCAGAAACTCACCGCCATTCCATATGGTGACTGTTGGAATTGAGATCGCTGAAACATAGAGGCTTGTTGTGGATTATTCGCCATTCTCTGCATTGAGGCAGAAGCTGGAAAACGGGCCGCCATATTGCTTTTACACAACAATATAATCCCACAATGCAATGTCAACGCACTGTTTTATCGTCGGAATAAGTCGTTCGTCTTCGGTAGAACTTGTTATGATCGGAAAAGTTCGATTAGCGTTCGTTACAGTTGCCTTTAGTTTCCGCGTTCGTTGACAAGGAACCAGGTGAAAACCGATCGACAAGGAAGAGGAGTGTTGAAATATTTAGGTTTTCGTGCGTCGAGAAATTTACAAAATTGGTTTTGCTGTTGCTGATGTAGAAGAATGAAGGTTGCATTGGTTTGTTTGATAATTCTGTATGTATTGAAAGAGGTAAGGTTTGGTAAGATATGAACGTCATCTTGTTAGCTACGATATAATTATAGGAAGATATTTGATCAGTCATGGAGTGGGAATTAATTGCTCCGTTCTGGTTCAGATTGCATTATTTTACTCCCCGTCATTAGGATTTTGTCAGTGAGGGTATTGATTTTTCCAAATAAGCGTATAATTATGTTTCCTGGTGACAAAACAGTACTGGGATCGAAACAAACTGATTATATATGACGTAGCAATATAAAGCTTATTTGGGAGTCTTCAAAGACTTCAGAGCTACGAATAAGGGAGTAATTACAGAATACCCTGCCACTTCGAAGCTGTATCCCTGAAGAAAGATGGATGTGTGGATACGCAGTTATCCCTTTTATGCGCTTTTCTACCTCCAGTGGCTTTAAAAACGACAAATAGTCATACTGTATGATTTTTATGCTGCCTTAAGTGTATATCAAAGTGGATACGCGGATACGCAGTGACTACTAGAAATAACCAAAGGTTACGGAGTGTGGGCGGCAATGAGCGAAGGGCAAAATGCTGTGCTTTGTGTAAGTTTCACGTGACAGTTGGTCAAAACTGCACGCGTGATCAAAATACGAGTGATAGAAGGTCCAAATGTGCATGATCAAATTGCGTTCTGTGCATTCCATTCATCCTTAGTGGAAGTCCAAACGAAAGCTGGGCTTCATCCCGGGGGGGGTGGGTCACTTGGGTTTTTTTTGGGTGGGTATGTGCCGCCCAGGACTCCAAATTGGCACCCCATTCTAAAAAAAAAAATGCCAATTCAAGAATTCGCCCTAAAACTGATACCCCGTTCTAGAAATGGGCCAATTTTTTATACTCCATTCTAAGGTGCATAGAGTACAACAATTTGCTTGTTAACGCATTGAACCGTATTTTTAAAAGCAATCTGTCCTTGAATAATTTCAAATGGCTGCTCACAAAACTGGAGCTTTCGTGCGTTCGAAATATCATACCCCGTTCTAGGAAACGCCTCTGAAATGGATACCTCGTTCTAAATCAGGAGCTTCAAAATCAAGACCCCATTGGGCGGCACATACCTGTATAGGTAATGTATGGGAGTACCCCCCCCCCCGGGGGGGGCTTCATACATGCAACGCATTCGTAATAACAACCTGGAGATTAGGATTGTGGGCTCCTCTTGTCGCCCGCAATTATTTCTTTAAGATATTTACTAAGTGGATACGCGGATACGTAGTGACAAAGTGGATACATGGATACTTAGTGACTGAGTATCTGCGTATCCACCTATTTTGGGGGGTTGCTTTAAACTGGCAGGGTATTCTGCAGTTAAGCCACGAATAATTTTGCAGAATGCCTAAGTAGCCGGTGAAGGTTGAACGACTGTGAAGTATAGTGATTAAGGTTAGGAAACTGAGTGAATCAGGTTCCATTTAGGGTCATTATGCTGGGAAAAACTGACCTGAAACTTGATTCACTGAGTTTCCTTACCCTAACTGAGCCTGGTGGATAATTGTTTGGTGAGTATAATTACTCAGGTGATTATCAGAGACAAAAGGGAAACCCACAGTTCAAATTATTATTTTGTTGATTTACGCCATAATGTTTTATGCACTTAACAAAGAAGCAATGTGATCAAATCAAAAAGAATTTTTTAAGAATCTGTGCTTGTGTGAACTTCAGTTTGTATATGTGAAAGTGTGTATTTATGCTGAGTGGGTAAATGTTGTTACTGTTTGTTTGTAACTGTGCCTGGTGATGGACTAAAGGTAATCAGTCAAGTCGCCGGAAAGTCATTTCGCCCGAAGTATTTGTCAACCGAAACCTGAGTTAAGTGACCTGAAATAATGCTGAGTCACGTCACCTGAATTTTATCAGGTGAAGTGCACAGAGAAACAAAGTTTTTTTTGTTAAATAAAGAGTGTGTGAAATAATTTGTTCTTCAAATCATCATGAGACGAAACAGGACGAAGAATGTGTAACATACCTCATTCTTTAAGCGATGATGAGACCAAACAAGTGGGATATTAGGTGTAATATATCTCGCTCTTTAATCCTTGATGAACAATGAAACAAGCATGATAGATGAGTAATATATATCTCGTTCTTTAGTCTTCGATGAGACCAAACAAGCATGATAAATGTGCAATAGGGATGCTAGGATGTTGTTGAGCGTGATAAAATTTCGAGCCACATGACTCAGTATTTTGAGTGACTTGACTAAAAATTTTGGGTGACATAACTTTGGTCAAGATGACTTTCAGGCAACTTGACTTAACATTTTTAACTATCTATTTGGGCAGTTCATTGCATGGGCCCTTATATATGGTCTCGTTGTGCTTGCCGTTTTGGGTATAATATCTTTCTTTTTCTTCTATCTCATTTTTCATTTCTTTTGTAAAAAGTTTTTACGTAATTATGTATTTATAAAGTTAAAATGCAACACAATAAAACTGTTAAAAAATTAAAAAAATAAATAATAATAACAATAATTATAATAAAACAGACAAACTACCCTAAAATGGACAGACTACCCTAAAATGGACTAAGCTGCCGAAGTATAGTGATTAGGGTTAGGAAACTGAGTGATGAATCCGGTTATAGGGGCATTATACTGGGAAAACTGACCTAAAACTTGATTCACTCAGTTTTCTTATCCTAATAACTAAACTTCAGCGGCATAGTCCATTTCAGGGTAGTCCATATATGGGAAGTCCACAGGGATAGGCGAGGGACCGAGTGAACTTTTGTGCACTTTTAGTAAATTTATTTTTGTTGTTGGTGTTTTGCTCACTCTCATAAGGTAAAAGACTTCAAAGCAATCAAAACTTTCAACAGTTAGCACTCAGTCTCGTACAGAGTCAGCAGAGATCACTAAAATCATCCTGCTAGGAGTGCATTTAACAACAAATGATATATTGCAATCCTCAAACAATCAGAGTGTGCAAATCTCTGTAATCACCTGAGTATACTTACTGAAATACAGTGTGTATTGATAACTCCATACAGAAGCTAGGCTGCTCCTCTCGTTTTCAGCAAAGCCAAATATATAGTTTTTGTTTTTAATTTTTTCAGTCCTATGGCTACAAATATTGCAGTTACAGTAAAAGAACAGTGACCTACTATTACAGGTGAATATGATTTTAAAAATTTATGCTTACTAACACTTCTTTCTGTTACAGTTAAAACTTATGGGTTACCGTAGGTCAGGTTAAAATTAAATGGTAAGGCGCACATGAGCCAAAGGCTCGAATGATTGGAGCTTTGCCTAGGAGTGTTGGTACTCTTCCCTGGATGGGATATTAGTCCATCGCAAGGTTACCTCCCAGCAGTATGCTGCTTGTACCCACCAGCTACTTTGGTTAGCCTGCCTACTGAAAAATGGTGGCATGAAGTAGGGGCCTAGTGTGTATTGAAAAGTGTTTTTTTTTTTCTCTTTGCTAGTTGTTCAAGTAATCAGTATTGTTGTGGAGTTAGCAGCTGTTGTACCTATGTGTATGCACGCTGGTACCTCTGGTAAGTGACTTTATTTACATCTATAGATGTTGTTTTGTTGTAATTTAATGTTCTTGTTTAAAGGTACTATAAGGCTAGTTAAAAGCTTTGGTACTTATCACAGTAAAGGATTATTTCTGCAAAGAAGGTGCTTCTGGCAGCCACTATCAGTCCAACAATTCTGCCGCTACCTGTTCGTAATTTTTTTTAAAGTCTTTTAACACTTCTATGAAAGAGGCTATAATACATGAGTTCTCGTCAGGTGATGGAAATAGTTCAAAACTGCCTCAGAAACCTTACAAATTGGAAAAATTGCACAGAAAAGCACAGAAAAAAGTTAAGTTTTTGTTTTATGAATTGGGAGATTTGGTGATCTGAATGGGAGACCAAGAGATTTTCTGATTTCTGGCATATATATGCTCACAGTGAAGTAGTTTATGATAATGTTAGTCAGTGTTGAATTTAATTGGAATCGCATCTGACAAAATAACATAAAATAGATCACCAAATTGGTGACTATATTTTTACTGTAGTGATAGCTGTGATAATATTTTTCTTCTATAAATATTACTCTCACCATGGAGCAATGTGCTCAGATGATCCTGTTCGGCTTGGTTTGTCAAAGGATGTTTTAACCTGGGATTAATTTTTTGAAGTTGGGTTCATGTTCTTACAGACTGTTTTGTACTGCTCAGTCACTTTGGGTTAACATAGCTGGACCTCTAAGCTGGAGACAAACAATACTTGATGAACTTCATTAATTTACTCGCTTCTAGATGAGAAAACTCCATTTCATACTGGGTTAACGTTAACTACCTTTCGAGAGCAACCAGGCCCAGAAAGTTAATAATTAATTTCTGAACTCTTGCAGGTTTGTCATCTCGGCAATTTTTTTGTTTGTGTTTATTCTCTGGTGGTACTATCGCTATCGTTATCGTCCACGTCACATCATCGTTCGTCAAACCACAGGGGTAATTACACCAGGTGCCCCTGGGGTTATTGCTGGCGGGGGTGTGAATGTTGTGAGGGTAAACGCCCCTTACCCCACCTATCCGCATCCTGGTACAGTTGCTGTTTTGCCTGGCAGCGGAAATGTGCATAACGCAGCGTATCCTCCTCCTGCGTATGGCCCTGTGCAGACTTATCACCCTCCGCCTCCAGCTTATTCCAGTGTTGTGAAAACCAGTGCAACTGTCACTTCAACCACAAATTGATGAACACATAAGAAAACCAGGGTTGTGATAAGTCAGAATATATGGAGCAGTTTGCAATAATTTTTTTTAACTATTGGAACATGAAGTAGAAGTAATTGAAAACAGGAAGTTAAGTTAATCACTCATGGCAATCACACCAAGCACTTAAATATTAAGCTAAAACTATGCAGTTTAATTACTTCAAGCCTAAATTTAATTTTGTAGTAAAGCCCTCTAAGAGAGTGCATTTTGACATAATTTCGATCTTGTGTTTGGGAGAAAATGCTGAGTGAATTCACATACAAAGCCTATAAAAAAACTCTTTTCAACAAATTCCTCTGTGTCCCTTACCTTCTAAACAAAGGGCAAGGTAATTTTTGGGAATTTTTTTTTCTGTGAAAGTCAGATCACAGTTAAAGTCGTAACTACCGCCCAGTAGCGAACGGAAAGCCCAAAAAAATATCAGGATTGTACGGGATTCTAACCCTAATAACCTCTGAAAGCTGGTTAATTACTCTTACCATGAATTGAGCTAACATTGCCAACAGAGAGCTGGCCAGTTTAGTCAGTTCATTGTAAAAGGATCCCGAGGAGGGTGAAGGTGAAATTATATATGAATATGTGACATTCAAGCAGTCAGTAATGTAAAGAACAGCATCGCATTTATAGACAAAAGTTTTGCAGTTGTGAAATTTGAAACCCTGAAAGAAATACAAGCTTGTACGGGATTCACCGTTCAGGGGCACCCAACGACGGTTTCCTCCGACATGGATTGAAAAGTCTTCTTAGGCTATCCAGAGTTTGACAGAATACTTCGAGATATCTAGAAATGTATCTAAGCGGCGCTTTAAAATTTGTATCTGCTCGGTCATCCAAAGGGAACTTTTGACTTTTTGAAGTTACAAGGCTTCAGTGTTATTTTTCCGAAACTTTTAGATACAATCGCAGTCATCGCATGTTTTACGAAACTGAGAGTTTTTCTTATTCCTCTCTCCATCACATTTTTAAATTCGAAAATTTTAGTTTTCCTTTTTCTATGAAAATAAGCCTTATAAAAAGGAGTAAAATGTGAAAAAATAAACTTCAGTAAATCGCAAAGAATTTTTTAGATAAGCTTCAAGAGTTGTACCTGGATGGAACGCTCACCTAGAAACTATTTGCCGTTTTTAAACATTAGAAAATTGTAGGCAATATTTGCTTCTACTGCAAACAGATATGGTTCGTTCGTTAGGTGCCCCTGAACGTTTACTCCGATGCCGGTGCCTTGAGCTAACAAAACAACCGTGGGTTTGGAGATTTAGAGTCACGTGACTACCCTGAAATGTGAGTTTCAAGTTGATAATTTCTTAAATAAAGAAATGAGCAGATAAAAGCAGTTCAAAATAATCCTTACGGATCTTTTGTGTAGATTTATAGAATGAATAGCAAACCAAGAGTTAAGGGAAAAATTGGTCACGTAATTCGTAAACGCGATGCTCCCTTTTTTATTTACACTTCTCTCTATAAAGTTCTTATCTCTTAAGGAAAGGGCAAACATGATGAAGGTGGAGCGATTAAATTTAATACGATACGAAAACACTGAGAGTTCTCAGCTGCTGCTGCATATAGTTTTATTTGTTGTCGCTGTCACATTTTACCTTTAGAGTTTTGAGCATTAGAATGGGACCATTAGCTACAGCCATGAGCATCTGAAAGTAATTTGTCTTTCCTCTTAGGTTTTACGTTATTTTGATTATAAAAAAGCTGCAGTAAATTATAACTTAAAATCCGAATGTAAGAATTTAAGGAAAAAGAGGTTAAAAAACGGCAAGGTTGTTTTTAAATTATATTTTATAGCAATTAAAAAAATGTGCTAAGATTTTAGCACCAATGTGTTCAAGGTTAAACGAAGCATAGCGAAGGCATAGTTTATCACAATTATTTAATGGTTAAATGGCTTGCTTTTTATATATTATTATAAAATATTGTTAGTTTAGAATATCTTATGGTAGTTTATGGTCTCCATATGCATACAAGCTCAAACAGTGCAGTTTATCGTTGAGTAATCTAATAACGTATTCTTTTAGTGATAACCATTTAGTTCAAGAGCGTACAAAGTTTGTAAGTTTGTAATTTATAAGAAATAAATTAATTTTGCCATGCAATTTGCAGAGATTTATATTTTTGTCGTTATTTGTATTGACATCTTTTTTTGTAAGTAGTATAGTAAGGACCAGTTACTCCGCTTTTTGAGAGAGAATCTTAGGCACTTTACATTTAACTAAAACTTCCGGTTTGAATTTTTGGCAACTTCCAGTAGCGAATGGAACGGCATTTTCCAGAATTTCCAAAAAAAAAAAAGGACAACCTCACGAGGTATACCCAAATTTTCCAAAAAATTTTTTTTCCGAAAGTTTTCTTTCCATTCAACTTTGCTCCCGGATTTTCGGTTGAATGGTTCGCGTTTCGGAAATTCAACAGTTTCCGGAATTTCTGGAAACTTTTTCGGGAAATTTCAGTACCATTTACCTCTGTTTCCAAATTTCGAAAGTTTTGGTTGAATGGAAAGCGCCTCTGGCTTATTGTTTTCCCTCCTACTGTTCCACTTCATTTCTATAGCTTTCCCTCCTCCGTCTTATCATTTCTACTGTTTTCTCTCCTCGTCCTCATATCAATTTTTATTTTTTCCCTCCTTCTCCTCGTTTTTGTTTTTTTCTTCTTCTTCTTCCTCTTCTCTTTCAACATTTTTGTTTTTCCTCATCCTTCTCCTCCTCTGTTCTACTGTTTCCTCTCCTCCCCTCCACATTTTTTTGTTTTCCCTCCACCACCACCACCACCACCACATTTCTATTGTTTTCCCTCCACCACCACCACATTTCTATTGTTTTTCCTCCACCATCACATTTCATTATCTTTTCCGCCACCCACACCAGAGACAAGTTATATGGAAGGTCAGAGGGCCAAAACCAGGCCAAAAAAATAACAAATAAAATAAAAAAGGACTTTCTGGCAATATTGTGCTGAAAGTTGTAGTTAGGTATGTTTCTTACGTCGACGACTGAACTGTCCGATAAAAGCCCCCCACAGTTAACTGGCGGAGAGGTTCAAGAAAACTAGGTCGATGATTACATCTTTTATGTGTCGTTTGAGTCTTTCCAAACCTAACCCAGATTATGTGAACATAGTAAGCAGTTACGCGAGAGATATGGCAAGGTCAAATACGAATCCAAAAGCACAAGGAAAGGACTGAATACGACTTGCAGTGTTCAATTTGACAACCGGCATTGGCCGCTTTCACACTAGACTGCAAAACAGTCGGGTTTTTTCACAAAATCAGTAAAAAAATCGGTAAAGCGTGGCGTAAGAGTCTTACACGCGCGAGCCTCACACGAGAGAAAAACGGTCTGTCCCCAGTCTCACTCTCCTTTTTCAACCTCGTTCCAGACCTTTTGTTTGACTGCTCGGGCTTACTTGAATAAGCAAAAATACGGACTGCTTTGCTGTCTATTTTCACACTTGAGATGGGTTTTCTTCCAGAGGCGGCGAGAAAGATGATTCGTATCAACAAACTACAAGGTTCACTTCAAACAAGCTTAATAAATAATACCGGGTGAATGCTACAAGGAATAAAATTCTATCCAAAACAGGGGCACCCAACGAGAATATAGTTCAAAACCACTTAAACATAGCATTGTTAAACGTATTTTAGTATTTAAACGGTAGATATAGGCATATTTTTATCCCCTTATTACACCAATTTTTAGATGTTCGAAAATCCTAGGAGAGGTAGGCAAGCAAGAAATTTTACAAAAAATGTTCCGAAAATTCTAGATCTCAAATCGTCTTCAGAACAGATATTTTCCGAAAATTGACGTTGGGTGCCCCTGCCAAAAGTTGTGCTCGTAACAAAAGATTATAAAGTCTTCAAAACAAAGGAATATGGCATGACACAATGCTACTAAACTGTGTGGAACCAACAAATTTCTTGAGGTAAATCATTTGTAGACGTCGATGGCAAAGAAGCACAAGGAAAGTATACTGAAATAAGGAAAACAAACGCAAGTGTAATATAAGGGAGGCCTCTATCACGGACAGTTTTTTTTATCTTTTTAACGACATACAGCTTTCCAAAAAGATACTTTTAACTAAGTTTCGTGAAAGAAAACAAAACTAATTTAGCTGGCCTGAACTGACCAATAATAACTCATATGACAGATACACCAATCACTTCTCGAAGCGCGGGACCGAGGCGTGCTACCAAGTCATGATTAGTCTTCTGATTGGCTGAGAAAGTGGTGCAACATTTTTTCAACCAATCACAAGCTGTTGCAATCGCGAAATTACTCTTGAAATCCAACTACAATTTTGTTCTAAGACAAATTTTTGTTTTCAGGAACGTGAATGAAATTTTTAAAACTGTAAATTGAGAAGTTATCCTGAGGGTTTTGCAACTACAGTGAAAGCTCTCCTTCGGACACTCTTATAAGCGGTCAGCTCTACTTACGACCACCTTCACAAAACCCCGTTTTTCCCAACTCTCATACAAATGCTGTATTTTCACATTCTCGTAAGCGGCCAGCTCCAGTTATGGACACCTTTTTCGCGTCCCGATGGTGTCCGCTTACGAGAGCTTCCACTGTATTTTGCACACTTACTGGATAATGACGATCCCATTTCATTTCAGACCGAGACATAAAATACACCGTTTCTGTGTACGACTACAGGTGCCGGGATGTAGCTACAAATACGGGTAAATTGCCACTTTCCCCGGAGAATTGGCTAGGCTACCGGGTAGAACAAAGATTCACGTTCGCCTACTCGTAACCGTAGAAAGAAACGGTGTAACTTAAGGTCCCTTACAGCTGAAATATATCTTTTCATAAGGTCCGTATAGTCATAGACTGAGGCTGGTTTGACGTCTGCAAAATGAAACATAAGTCAATTTCCATTCTCAACCACGAGCTTTGACTTGTTTCACTTTGAATGGATTCATTTTCTTCATTTCCTTCTTGTGTTCTCTCCTATTGAAAACAACAATAACT